CTTATACTTTATGGGTTTTTAAACTTTAGTCCCTAGAATTTAATTTTTACACTTAGGTCCCCAAACTAGAGATTTTTTACGCTTAGGTCCTTAGGATTTTAGATTTTTACCACCTTAGTCCTTAAATTAAAGGATAGTTTGGTTTAGGCTTTCGCTAAAATGCCTGAGTTCTCATATCAATTATTCGATCCAATAATTGGCTAATAAAAATTAATAGGTTAATTATTAGAGACTTCACCTTAAGCTTAATCTCTTAAGTCCTTTAATTTTCAATAATTTGACACTTTAGGCTAGAAATTTCTTCAATTAACACACCTAGAGACAATGGATTTTTAAATCATTTGTGTGAATGCATTTGTTTTTTTAAAACAAAGGCAATGTTATCTTACTAGGGAGTTAATGGTATAGCTCCCGCAAGCATACTCAGGGAGCAACTACTGATGATTCCCGAAATAGGTCGACATCGTTTTTCAAGACCGCATCATAATTTTTTAAAATCTCGAGGCAATGTTCGATTATTGGGCAAAATAGTTGATCTTCAGCGTTTATGCTAGAGGGCGAATGCTATTAGTTTTGATAAACGAATACTCTTCTTAACTTTGCATCCATAGTGATTTATAATTTAAATAAGACTTCGAACTCGAAATTTTCAAAATTCAAAATAGGGTAATCAACTAGGTACCAATTTATGGGCGATGTGGGGATGCTAACCCTTCCCCAGTCGTAACCGACTCCCGAGCGTAATAACTGGATTTTTACAGACCCCAAAACTCAGTATTTTGGTAAAATAAAATTTTTTATTAAAATCACCTTATTTTTATGGTGTTCCAATCGCACCTTAAATGGTTAGTGGCGACTCCTCACATTTCAAAAAAAATTCAAAGAAAAACCACTAAGTCGTACAAGTTTTTTCCACCCATGCGAAAAATGGTGACAACAGCTTTGCGACTATGATAGGGATATTTTGTTTTCTAAAAAAAATCGAGAGTCAAGTCACAAGTTGATTGTCCTATATTTGGAATTTAGAAATTTTGAGTTTAAATTTATTTAATTTATAGTTCATTATATTATTTCAAAAAAAAGAAAAAAAAAGATTTTCTCTTTGGATAATGCTTACAGTTTTGTGAATATTTAATATTGTTGCATATCATAGCTCTAAACCTGAGTTCAATCCCGATTTACCTAAGTAGGGGGAAACGCCACACCTCATGGGGAACATTAGGCTTCTTCGTACGAGTCTAACAAATTACCTCTGGATCATTCTAAGTTGCATGTCCAGATATCAGTTTCGAGATACACTTTTAGTGGTGTGATCCCCTAAGTTGAATCCGATTTGCAAGTCTATAATGGACCAGAATCAGAGTCCTTGTTAGCCTTACCAGGTTGTAAGGACAACTTGGGAACCCTTTGCTAGAACCAGACTTCATGTAGAGAATTTAGTAAACCTACCCCGATAGAGCCATGTGGATAACTTACAGGGAAGTATCGATACCACAGCTAGGGAAGTATCGATACCCTAGAGGGGGTACCGATACTACTCCAAGTAGAAAATGAAATTAAGCCTTTCTTATGGTCTAAGAAATTAAGGATTGAATTATGATATTTGGAATGCTGATATGTATATAATATGTATGATTGTGTAGATATCGATCGAGTGCAAAGTTCGGACAAGTCGACAAGTAGTAGTCATCGAGGAAAAAGATAAGAGATCGGTATTGACTAGTGAGGCCAGGTGAGTGCATACTAGTTTATATATGATGTTTAAAGGAAATAAGAGTTGTGATGAGTCTATTTCCTATATTATAATGCATGAATTCATGAAAATAGGCATGAGTTGATATGATTGTTGTGTGTGAGACTGAGTACTTGAATATGAGTATATGTGTTATATTTGTTATATATTTATTGTATATGTATATATGATCTGTGTAAATATAAGTATAATATAATGATAGCATATGACAAAATGGATATAATAATATATGAATATGAATATGAATACAAGCTATGTAAATAGATGATCACATGATATAAGTCATGTGACAAGATATATGAGATACATGAGAATATGATATGAGCCATATGATATGACCTACATGAATATGTGAGAAAGAATATGAGCTATATATGTGCTACATGAGCTATGTGATAAGGAAATATGGAATTATGTGTCTATGTGATATGAATAAGTGAATATGTGCAAGTATAAAGATAATGCCCATGTCATGTGTCATGAGAGTTAGAGGTATAGTTGACATGCCAAGAGTCGAGGGTTTTACGTGGTCCTTCGGGACGTATATGTAATCCTTTGGAACATATATGCAGTACTTTTGTACACTTATTTGGTCAATTGGAATATGTATATGGTTCTTAAGGAGTGGACCTTCGGAACATAGTGGTCCTTCGGGACAAATTTCATATGCCACTCAGTGGGAATTATACGAGCTGTGGTGACAGCATAGGAACACAACCTTAATTTACTCACATATCTTTAGTTCTCACATGTGTACATGGGCTAATAAAAAGATAATATAAATAAAATTGATATGATAATATGTTTGTTTCCTTGTGAAGTGATATGTGTGATATATGATGTGTATAAATGATAAGTATAGGATCATATGATAAAAGGAATTAGTGATAATGCTAAGAATGAAGATGATGATATATGTGCATGTGTGTATTTGTTAAATGAAAGGATATATGCTTTTGTATGATATGATAGTATTAATTGTTCATGCATTGATATGAGTTAGAGTTACATTATATGTTTTATATATGTCTCACTAAGTCATTGACTTAGCGTGTGAATGTTTCACACGTAGGTTTCGATGAGTTTAGGAAGCGAAGAGAAGCAAGACAGGTCAGATTCTCCTTTCCAAAGATCAGATCAGAAATATATTTTAATACATGTATTTTGTTACATAAAATGTAGTTGGCATGTAGTCTAAAGATTTGAATTGTATAAACTCTGATATATTTTGTAAAAACCAATTGATTTTAATTAATGTAAAGTATTTATTTTCTTGAATTGTGAATTTAAATTTTAACCCATTTATAAAGGAAAACGCTTTGAAAAGTCAATGTGACACATCGGACTCGGATCCGGGTCGGATACAGGCTAGGGGTGTTAAAGGCCACTAGAGGGAAGGTGAGGGCAGGGGTTATAATTTGGGATTTATATAATATAATTTCAGAATCTAGGGTTTGAGCGTATAATCCTATATAATATTAAAATATTAATAAAAGTATGACATGTCATATGAAAAATAAAATAAAATAATGCATGAAATCATTTATTTATTTCACGTCATAACGACATTACAAGTTTAATGGCGGAGTAACAAAAAAAATTCAATGTATAAAGTTCAATGAGCAAATTGAAAACATTGAAAGTTTGATGAGTGAAATAGGAGATAGAGTAAAGTTTAGTGGTAAGCGTGTAGTTTACCCTTCATTTTGCTGTGCCCAGGTTTTTAACCGAGAACCTTCGGGCCTTTCATCCCCTAAATTATACTAGACCCTTCTCTACCGTCGGATTGAATAAGAGAGTGTAGCCCTTGGATCTAAATGGCTATTAAACCTCCGTTTACGAAGCAATTACCCACTAAATATGTTTTCTCTGAATTTTTTTAATTCGTTTATTTTATTCTTTGTTTGGTATTCGGAAGAAAAGGAGATAATTGTTTTCTTGATTTTATGTATTGATTTTGGGTAAAGGATTTGCTTTTTATGACTTGGATTTGCAAGGATTTGAGTCAGATTGGTTGATCAAGGCCAGAAGATTAGTAATTTAGGGTCTTATTGATTGTTTTTGTGTTCCATAGGTTTCATTTTGAAAGTTTGGCTTTTCCTCTTGGGTTTCTAGTTTTTGTTTCTCTTAAAGAATGGAAGCATAATATATAGGGATTCATAGGAGATAAGCAGTTTTTACTGCTTCTAGTTCATTAGGGAACTTGGGAAATTGATTCTTTTTCATGCCAGAAAGAGGAAATTTGTGTAGGTTGGAGTAATGTGTAGAGCATTGAAGTTGGAAGTTGTTTGATAATAATTTCTTGAGAGATCCTAGTCTGTAAAGACCAATACTCCCTAGTTTGATGAGGATTTCCATTAATAACTCAACTTAAACTTGAAACTATCCCAGTGGAAGCCCAAAATAAAGAGGCGTTTATAATAATTCCTACTCGAGCTCCCAACCTAGCCATTCTTCATGAAGCATGTGCCTTTAGAACCAATTTGAATGCTAGTGGATGGTGCTACCAGTGTGCTCCTTTTCGGGCAAACTCAACTTCTGAAAATAGACTTGCTGAAATTAACAAGAAATTGATTAGAGGTTTTGTAGTTCACCATATATCATGGAGCCCTTTCTGAACTTGATTTCTCTGTTTCATAAGTTAAACTTAGAGGTTGGTTGCAATATGTCTAATATGATGTGGAATTATACATTTCACATGTTTAAGACCTAATTTTCATTCTTTACAGTTGATCTCAATGGCTTTGTTCGCTGATCAAGTTTTTATCCATGGCTCTATTATTTTTGGGGTTGTTAAATCCTTATATCAATCAGTTATTTTCATATAAACTTGGCAAAGTTAGTCAATTGTTAGTTGCTACAATTTAATCCTAAATGCATTAATCTAAGACCATAGAATTGGGTACTTCTTGATCACTTTTCTGTATTAATCTATAGTGATTATCGTGAATTTATTTGTGCTCATCTTTCGGAAGATCACAGATAGGATTTTGTTTTGCTTTAGAAGAGATCAGGTATTGAATCATTGATTGAAAGGGAAGAGACAGATAAAAGGGGAGCAGAGGGATATAGGTTAGAATGCTGACTTTGAGAAAATCTACACTATTTGAGCAAACATAAAGATCTGAAATCCTGAATATTGTTTGAATTTGCATTGGCTAATATCAGTTTTTTTCTGTCTCATTTTTTTTTTGTCTCTCGTTTTTTTTTCCTCTGGCAATAATTTGTTGTTACACAATGCCATGCAACTTTTAGTCATTCTTTTCATGTATCTTGCTATTGCAGTTTGAAAATGGCTGCAAAATATATAGTTGGTTCTATTGCGGCATCGTTTGCCGTTGCCTATGTAGCTGATAATCTTGTTGCAGATCAGAAGATTTTTGGAGGCAAGTTGCTGTACTTTTGTATATTTCGTCATAGGCTATTCCAGGGGGCTTAATAAATTATGGCTCTTCCTCTCCAACTTAGGGACTACACCTCACACTGTTTTGAACAAGGAATGGTGGGAAGAAACCGACAAGAAATTTCAGGTGTGGCCACGTGCGGCTGGTCCACCTTTGGTGATGAACCCCATCAGCCGCCAGAATTTCATTGTTAAGTCGGGATCTGAATCTTGAAGACCTAATGTTTGCTTCTCTTTTGTCGAAGTTAAAGTTTGATTTGCCATTCACTTGTGAAGAAATTGTTGCTTTGCTTTATCCAACTTTGCTTTTACAGTAGTTGGGAAATTTATCAAGCCATAGGAAAGTGTTCGATGATAATGATGGTCATACTAGATCTCAATAAGAATTAACAATCATTATATTTTAAGTTTTTTTTTATTATTTGAAATGTAAAATGCTTATTCTTATATTATAAAAATAAAATTGATTACAAATTAAATAAAAATAAAATTTGATTTGATTTGATTTGATACTATTTTCAATTTATTTTCTTCACTTCAAATCTATTAAAATGCTAGGTTGCCTCTCAACTCCCCCACTTATAAGAGCTCTATTATCACTATTCCTTAATCTTACTATTAATGTGAACTGTTATTGGTGACCTAGAAGGAAACTTGGAAATAATGTTCATTAAATTGTTTAAACCATATTTTTTATTGAAATTATACCTAATTTTTTTTCACTTTGATTAAATAAAAAGCAAAACCCAAACGTGGTAAACCATATATTTTCATGTTTATTACTCATATACATGTGATATGCCTTTTTGGAGTGATTTTAATTATTGAAGGGAGATCTTAAAAAACATACATGGGCAATTTAAATGGGAGATCTTAGATTACGACGATTGACTACTGTAGATGTTATTGAAGAGTTGCGAAGTAGTTGATGGAAAAAGATGGTTGAAAAAATAAGAAAAAGTGTGTGAGATATGGTTGTTATTGATAATAGGACTAAGGGTGGGCAACTATTGATACATGATACATGGCTGTTATGAGGTATATCTCCTTAATTTTATCTATTCCACTTTTTTTTGGTTACAAACGGGAAAGCTATAAACTATTTGTGTAATTCCACTTGTGATGATAAGATGACTGACTAAGTGGTTTCAATTTATCACTCATTGAGTGTCAGGATTGTGAACAGTGAAAGAGAGTGTAGATGGTAGTTGAAGGTGGGAAGCAGTGTCCCCAAGAGCTTATGATAACAAATGCAGGCCTATGATATCCAAATACTGTGATGGTAGAGCAGTATCTTTGGAGGCACCTAGTGGTACCGGTGGGTATAACATTCTCGAAAAAAGCATTATATGGGTGATACCAATTGACACTTTTACGGATATTGTATGACCAACACATAATATGATGCAATGGTTCATAAAGTGATGACAGGCTTCGTTTGCTAAGCTTGTTATTTTATTTTTTATTTTTTTTTGAATGGTAAAGAAAGAACGCAGGTCAGCACATAGATACTGAGATTATCTTCAAAAAAATGCTCGTCCCACTTCCTGCGGCGGATCATGGTGAACCTGCATTTCAAAAGGTCTCTTTCACGCCAACTTTGCCATGCAGTCTGCCACTCGATTCTGTTCCCTGGGAGCAAGTTCAAACGCGTGACCCAATTCCGACGCCTCAGATCACAAACATGATGAATCATAGAAGATCCCAACCCCTCTCCAAAGCCCGGATGTAAGAGCAGTCATGATCTCGTTGCAATCCGTCTCCACCAACAAACATCGGATACCCAATATCCCAAGCCAGACTCAGCCCTTCATAGATGCCCCACAGCTCCGCCTCCCACGCCCAGCACGAAAAATAGATTTTGAAAATCCCACAACCTAATCCCCCGTATGGTCCAGAATAACTCCCCTGCAGGCAGCTAATCTAGAGTCTGATCGACATGCACCCATAGTACTAAATTGCGGCTGCAACGTAGTGTAATGCCCACATCATAACGTTTTTTAAGGCTACCGCGACGCAACGCGATAAGAGAATCTCATCACGATTGTTGCGGTAAAAAACCGTTACTAACACTGCAACACGCTATAAATTGAGCCGTAACGCCGTAATAAATTTTAAATTATCTGAAATATAAAATTACATTGATGAATTGTTCTAAATTAATTATTAAAATTGGATTATAAATATATATAATTAATAGTATTGTAATAGTTATGTTTAAAATTAGTTATTTAAATTTGAATTAATTAAATTATTTATTAACGTTATTTTAAAATTAAATTAATTTAAATTGAAATTTTCTCATATCTAAAATTAAAGTGATTAATTTTAAACTAAATTTTTATATTAACATTAAGTATCATAATTATATGTTTATTTATTATTATATAAATTTTGTATAAGAGATGAATTCACTTCATAATACTTTAATAGTATATGTATTTTATCTATGTACTATGAAACTATAAAATTTTATCTAATATATAATATAAAGAATAAATTAATAAATAATATTATAAATAAAATAAAAAAGAATATATTTCTTGACAAAATAAATAAATAATATTATAAATAAAATAAAATTCAGCTACAAATGATAATGAAATTAGTGAATCATCTCTTGGTTCTCATTCTTACCAACCAAATTCATGTTATCCACCTTACTTTTGAATAAATTTGAATAAAATCCAAGTTATGGATATTTTTTGTCATCATTTATCATACAACATGTTTCCTACTAATGATGCATCTTATGATGCACATAATGTGATGTTTTCTTTACTTAGAATATGAAGAAATCAAAATTAAGACAATTACGAAGATGAAAATGCTTTAGATCTATCATGCTATTTATTTTAGTGGTTAACTGTAAGTTATATAAAATGAATATTTTTATGTTACAATATAAAAAAATTTCATATGATTTTAGTAATATTGTTTATATGTTATTCATTAATAGTATAATTGTTATTACTCATTATTCAGTATGATAGTATTTCTACGATTTATATTTGTTTTTAATAAAATTTTATCAATAAAATTAAATTTTTATTTTCAAAATAAAATAATAAAAGAGTATATTAATATATTAAAAGATAATTGTAAAATATATAAATATAATCTTATTACGGATGCAATTCTATGCATGCACCATCCGTGTTCAACTTTAACAATACCGTACCTGGAGCCACCCCAATTTCCAGACTGAACAGTTGGTCTAGAGTATCGAATAGACCCTACAATCCGAAAATCAAGATCAGCTTAAGCTTCTGCCTGCATTATGTGGCTACAAACTAGAACGCAATCCATCGGCAACGTTTCAGGACTGAAAATGTTTTGATTTTGACGTTTCCAGAGAACCCAAATGATAGTACCGAATAAACCCTGCCACCCCTCACAAAGGATCGAAAAATAAGCTGGTTGAGATAGGTTCTTTAAAAGCCACGCTCGAAAATCCATGCTTAAGAATTCGTTCAATCGTGAGGACGGATAAGCCCCTCTCAAATCCCTTTAGCAACCGGGCAGAGTCGAAAAACATGAGATAAAGACTCAACGGTGCTGCCACACACACCACAACTTGCGTCATTAGTCAGATGTCGACGAGTGTGCTCCTCGTTGGTGAGAATCCTGCCAAGATAAGGCAACCATAGAAAAGATTTAACCTGTGGAAGCCCTTTGAATGATGAAATAGTTTTCCAACTGGGTCTCCTCTACAAGAGCACCTCCCGATCGAGCCTTATAAGCTGATCTAGTGGAGAACTGATACATAGGATCCGATCGGTAACCGACAATGTCGGGGCCACTGTTTAGCGTAGGAGGCTTAATTGCCATGATGTATAGAAGCAGAGTAGAAGTTAGAACACTACGCAACAAAGACTACCTCCATTGCCCATCATGCGAAACCATTTCATGAACCAACACATTGTCTTGCATGGGATTATATGTCCTAATATAGAGATCACGTAACGGACCTAAGTTTCCAAGCTAGAAATCGCTCAAGAACTTGACCCAGGTTCCATCTCCCATATTCCACACCAGTCCATTACGAAGCTCACTCCAGATAGCGCAAATTCCTTGCCAGAGCCGAGAGCCTCCTACCCTCCCAACCGAAACTGTAACTAAATCACAAACCTTGTATTTGGAACGCAAAACACGGGCCCATAGTTGGTCACTTTGATCAATCATCCAAAACCCTATTTTCATTAAAAAAAACGACATTATGAGTATGTAAATTTTTCACTCCCAGGCCACCCTTATCTGTCGGTTTACAGACTTCGGACCGCCTCACAAGATGAATCTTCCTCAAATCCTCAGAACTGCCCCAGATAAAATTATGAATCAATGATAAAATTATGAATCAACAATTCCATGTCCTCACACACCTTCTTATGGAAATAACAAGATTACATTATATAAGACGGGAGGGCGGCTAAAATAGACTATGCTAAAATGATCTGACCCTCAAACGAGAGAGATTTGGCTCTCCAACCAGCTAGTCTATCTCGCATACGTTGGATCAAAAATTGATATGTGGCTCTCCTATGAAGCAACGGAACCCTAAGTACTTGCCAAGCGATTCAACTCATGAATTGAAACCACTCACTAATATCTTCTTGGACATGAGCACAAACATTAGTCGAAAAGCAGATATTCGTCTTGTTCAAACTAACTCTGTGCCCAGAGATGTTACAGAAATCTTTGAGAACCTGTTGAAATACATCTAGTTGATCAAGTGATGCCTCTGTAAATAGAATAAAATCATCCGCAAAATATAGGTGAGAAAGGCTCGGTCATTCCTCAAGAGTTTAATTGGCTTCCAACTACCTTCCGACACAACTCCTTGAATTGCTTGAGAGAGACGCTCCACGCAAATAACAAATAAATATAGGGAAAGGGGATCCCCTGTTGGATGCCCCAAGAATGAGTAAATGGCTCTGAAGTGGTGCCATTCTAAAGAACCTGGGTTGAAACAATAGAGATACAGTTCATAATTAGTTTACAGAGTTGCTACGGGCAACCAATGTCCCCCAAAGAGTCATCAATGAAATCCCATTCCAACCGGTCATAAGCTTTCTCGAGATCAATTTTAAGGACCATCCACCCCTTGCTACCATGCTTTCACCTCATCGAATGAACCACCTCTTGAGCAATAATGATATTGTCCGTGATGCAACGTGTCGGAACAAAGCTAGTTTGGGTTTCTGAGATCCATCTAGGTAGAAAAGGCTTAATCCGGTTAACCATTGTCTTCGTTAGGGTCTTGAAAACCACTGTGCACAAACTTATTGGCCGAAAATTGGAGAAACTCTCAAG